CTTACATATAGACCTATAAACTAATGGATTGCGCCTCCCTCACCACCCAACCATCACTGAGTAACGCCAATATAGAGTGAGTAAGAAGGAACATAGTGGGGGAATCTTGATGAAATCATATAAGAGAAAGAGAGAAAAAACATAATGTGGGAGATCATAGACTTACGAAACTAATACTGTATATTGGACCTCTTACTTCTCTCTCTAAGCGTTGTCCATTAGTTTATAGGTCTATGGATAAACATGGTAATGTTGTTCGCTTTTCTTTTTCAGAATGCTACAATTGCAGAAAACCTGGTCACCTGGCCCGCCATTGTAAGTGTATTTTGTGTAAATTATATATGTGATCGTAGGCAATGCATCTAAAATATTATTTATTATGCAGGCAGAAGACCAAAAGTTCAGAGGGACCGGTCCTCCACCCGTCGGCGAGACCGGTCCCCTCCTCGGCGGCGAGATCGGTCTCCCCTCTGGCGGCGAGATCGGTCTCCGAGAGAGACGACCTCACAGCGGCTGCGGGACTCGGGAATTGGGGAATGGTGCCAGAACTTCGCACCAGCACTCGGGCCATGACCGTGGCTCAAGTGCTGTGTCATCTATGGGCCACGATATGGCCTCTATGAATGTAGGAGTGAGTATAATATTGTAATATATTTGTAATATACATGTTAGTTATAAATGTTTTTAAATACATTGTTTACAGGATGACAGCAAGCTAGTCAAGCTGTGTACTAATTTTTGTGTTCTTTTTATTGTCTAATTCTAATTTGTGTTTGTATATATTTTCAGAATGAATAATGTATAAGTTATTAAGTTATAAATAGAAATATATATATATAATATATAACAACAGTTATTTGTAAGTGTTTTTTTTTATACATAACCTAACCTAAGTTATATTACAACATATATATAACAGATGTTATCATATTTATAAGTTTGCATAACTCTCCTTTAAAACGGTAGGTATGCATAGGCTCGAACAAATTATTGTTGGTATTATTAGTTAATGAATAATATTAATGGTAACATTAATTGTTAACCAATGGCTCATAAAAGATATGAAAATGTAATACAAGATTCCTTATAAGATTTTCTACATTTATCAAAAAAAAAAATGTCTATAAGAAAGTCAAATTAAATTTTTATGAGTGTTTGAAATTTTTACAACATTGGAGATCAGTCGATTTCTCATATAGCGATTTCCTTATTTTGTTGTAATTCTAAAACGAATAACTGTAGATACATGAAAATTTCACTGAATGTTTATATTAGCATTTTCTAAACACTATACAATTTTGAAAATATTTTAACTCTTTTTAAGCTGTTTACGGACATTTTCAGTTTTCGATTTTTTTAGTTTTTTTTTCTATAAATATCAATAAAGTTTTATCTGTTGGGTCAAAAAGTATAAAAATTTAATACAAGGCTCCTGATATATTGTTACAGTATCAGTTGAAAAATATTTCAAATACATATGCACAATTTCTTTTTATAAGCATTTAAAGATCGAATTTTGACAAAATTTATCAAAATCTCGAAAATTATCAATCATTGTAATTAATAAATTATAAAATGTTCAGTTTTTATAGCTAAGGACTGCAAATTTAAAACAGAGGTTCTCATGAATAGTTCATACTGTAACCAAAAAATCTAAAAAATATATGAACACAGTTATTTTTTACAGACATTTTAAATTTAAATTTGGACGAAATTATATATTAAAAAACCTAGAATAACTAATTTAGTTATTTTGTTGTGATTGTATAATATTATTCGTAGGTACTTGAAACTTCTAAAATGTACTATTATATTTATATATCTATGATAGTATCACGGTTTGTTGTTGATGTATAACGCTTATAAGTACCTAATGGATATTGTGATATGATTAATTGGGAATTTATTATAGGTCAATTTTATTTTAATACAATATATATGTAATATGTAGGTATATAATATGTCTTAACCTAGACTGACATACCGTCTCCACTCAGAATCGTTTTTCTCATACAATGATATTATATCATTGAATTCAAATTTAATACCATCCATTATACAGTGACCCACTTATAACCTACAGTACAGCAGAGCACCTTTTTTAAATTACAAATAATGTATAATCAATTAGGTATTACTAATCAGTAATTGCATAATATTTTTTCAATGAAAATTATTTGCGGTGGCAAAATATCTAATCATACCTCATTATGTTTATTACATATAAAAGACATTGTTAAGCAATACAAATTCAAACATACAATATAGCGTAGTTTAATGATGTTTAAAAAAATTTAATTGAATCGTGCGTCGACTGCAATACGTAGAAATGAAACATATTGTACATACAACAAAATTGAAAATTTCTTACAAACCTTGGTTATAGTAGATAATATATGCTTTTGAAATTATAATAATTTGTGTATGAAACTTACTATTAATCAATTTAAGTGTATATACATATATATATATGTGTGTGTATGTGCTACATCAGTTACACATTAACAATGAAGAATAATTAAGTGTTAGCTGTAGTAATTCTTATGATTATCAGAGTATGGTTTAGTTGCAAATTAGTAATCAGTATTGATACAATGATGAATCTTTTTGTTGTGTTTCTGCTACATCTGCATTGATGAAGTCATTTCTAGTATAATGTTTCTGAAATAATACAATTGCATACAAATATCTGCTGATATATTTTTAGAGTACATAAATAATTCTAAATAATTTACCACAGAGTGTGCGAGTCGTAGCCAGTTTAAATGCATGTTTGACATTTGATACAAATACATTACAAAATCCGCATCAAGAGAGAAGCACGTAGAGGTTGTCAAATTTCCCCTATGCCTTAGTAGCAGTACAACAATGATTCTGTTTCTGTTACATCTGCATTGATAGTCATTTTTAGTATAATGTTTCTGAAATAATACAAATGCATACAAATATCTGCTGATATATTTTTAGAGTACATAAATAATTCTAAATAATTTACCATCTAGTGTGCGAGTCGCAGCCAGGTTAAATGCATGTTCAACATCAGTTACGTATTCATTACAAAATCCGCATCCAGAGAGAACCACGTGGAGGTCGTCGAACTTTCTCTCCTCCGCGAGTCGTACTTACGACTGCTTATAAACCATGTGTCACACAGATCAGATTCGATGTTCATTAAGTTCTTGTAGACTTCATTGTACAGTTATATCGCTTGTAGAATTTCTCTGTACACAATGTTCTTAGTGACGAATCTACCACGGCCATCACTGTACATAGCAACTCTAATGGATTTTATGGATTGAGAGTCCCTCACTCGGGAAAACGCTGCATACAGTTGTCCTATAATAAAGTTTAAAAAAGTAGAATATAAATGATACTTATGTATTTATTAATATAATATATATATAAATCATGTATAATACATTTTTGCATGCCAACGACATAATAAAAATGTTGACAAATATTACAATATTTTAAGCATAGTTTTACACCTTTGGAGGAATTTAAATTCAATTTATTATAATTTTATAACATATAATATGTAAATGTAGTTTTCTTGTTTTGAAATTTGTTTGAAATATTGCAAAAAATTAATACGTGTAACCCAATGTAAAGGTTAGTACAGGTATAAGGTATGAATTGAAGTAATTAAACTTGGTAATACAATATTAGTATATTATAATCGAGGGGTAAACACCTTGGGGGTAATCATGGGTAATCATAGGTAATCTTTGTAGTAAGTCATGGGAAATCATAGGTATAATCATTTAAATCAGTAATCTGGTGTACAAACTTTCTGTAATTACCCCTCGTATATAATATAATAATATTACATAATATGTATGTTTTAAAAAATTGAAATGTATTGAATTTACTTATTATTACTTACCTTATTACGTATGTAACGACATTGTCATAAACAATCGACACACCAAGCTCCTACTAAAACTCTTAGCTATAATAGTTAAATTTACTGCAATACTCGTGAAAAATGTCTATCTAATCCGTGCATTCAAACTACTTATATTTTTAATATTATTGAAATGCTGAATGGCGGCTTCCACAACGGTACGATAATAAAATTCATAATAATGACATTTACATAACACTTGAACCGTTTCTGAATATTGCGTTTTACATATTATATATATATATTTTACACACGGAAATATCACAATTTTTGTAAAAATCGCACACGCACTTTTTTATTATATTATATACCTAATATATAGAAATACGGAATAACTCGGGAAAATAATATTCGAAAATATTCACGTCAATCGTCGATAACGAAAAGGGAGATAAGCGAGCGGCGACGTGAGAAGTATTATGATTGGTCGTCATGGAAGAAACGCGGAGTTGCTTATTTGCTGCGTCGCGCGAGAAGTAATATGATTGGTCGTCATGGAAGAAACGCGGAATTAATTATTTGTCGCGTCGCGCCTGGTGGCAAAAAACGGAGACTATTTGTGTTTTATAATATAAGAGATTTATTATGTTAGTGTTTAGATTAATATTATATTATTTTTATTTGTATTAGTGAATTATATATAAAAGAGCCTAATAACTAATAAGTATTTAAAATATCGATTTTCTATTATAGGTATGTAATGTACTAAGTATTATTTATTATTATTATTATTAGTAGTAGTCTATTATATTATATTTATACTAATAAAAAATTTCTATTATAGTTATTGAAAATCGATCGGCTTATTATTATTAATCCACCGAACAAACAAAATTACATTTATTTTCTGCCCCAGGGGGCAATACAACGCCAGACTTTACTGGTGATGTCTTAATAAATATAAATTGGACAATATTTCTCATTACTTTAGTGTCATTCAAAGAAGCTGTTGATTCGTCGTTTTCTTTCACTAACCGAATGAGTTTTTTAAGTTCTGAGGTTTCTCGTTTAAGACCATTAACAATGTTTTTTTTTTTCAAATTTGAATTTATTGTATTAAAGATTTTCTCTCAGATGTCTGTTACACACTTGTATGGAACACAAATGCACCTTGTGGTATGTTAAAGATAACGGAACACCTATTGAACGGTTTATGTGCTTTTTGCCTAATAGTGGACATAAATCTGAAGAACTTACTGATGAAGTTATGACTACATTATCTCTTTATGATCTTTATCCAGTATTTTCACGTGCACAATCTTATGATAATGCAAGTAATATGGCTGGTGCAGATAATGGCTTACAAGCCAGAATTAAATAAATAAATCCATTAGCCTATTTTGTTCCCTGTGCTGCTCATTCCTTGAATTTAGTTGGGACATGTGCAGCCAGTGCCTGTCGTGAAGCTTGCGATTTTATTGACATTATTCAAAATATATATAACTTTTTTACAGCTTCCACACATAGATGGTCTGAATTAGAAGGAACCGTAAAATGTTTTTCAGCAACCCGTTGGTCAGCCCGTGATTGATGCTTGTCATTCCTTATCAAAAAATTGGAATAATATAGTACATGCATTACATACAATTTCAAATAATAGAAATGAAATGCCTTCGACAAAATGTGAAGCTGTTGGCTTACTTAAGAAACTCAACCACCTTGAAACAGTATTTATGACAATTTTTTGGACAAAATTTTGGATCGTGTAAATAAAACTTCAAAGAAGTTACAGTCTGTTGATATAGATTTAATTACAGTTGTTGAACTATATCAATCCTTAATTCATTATGTTGAATCTTTAAGAAATGATGATTCTTTCAAAATATTAGAAGACATTGCCATAACAAAATCTAGAATAAAGGATTACAATGGCCATAACAAACTTAAAAGAAAAAGGAAAATACATATTGATGAAAACAACGATACTGAAGTATTATTTTCAGAAAGAGACTATTTGATTATAAACACTTATTATGTAATATTTGACAAGCTATCATATGAATTGAAAAGAATGAAACTTGCTTATGATGAATTGGTGAAAAAGTTTTTTTTCTTTTTGAAGTTACATGAAATTACTCCAGAAAAAGTAAGAGAAGACGCTGAAGTATTGCAAAAAACTTACCCAAATGATTTAGCAACATGTTTTGTAAATGAGTGTGTACAATTTCAAGGCCACATGAAAAACATTGAAGTTAAGCTTACAACAGTACATATGTTACAGTTTATAAGAGAACATGATATTACTAGTGGTTATCCCTATGTTGAAGTAGCTTTACGTATATTTTTGTATTTTATTTTTTCTACAAATTGTAGTGCAGAGCGTTCTTTTTCCACACTAAAAATAATAAAAAACTATTTAAAGTCTACAATGGCACAAGACCGCTGCTCGGCTTTAGCTGTATTAGCAATTGAAGCTCAAATAACCACTTCATTAGATTTTGAAAAAATAATTAGTGATTTTGCTACTTCTGAATCAAGGAAGAAAAAGTTTTAAATTTTGTATTTATATTGTATGCCTAGCAGTTAATAGAGGTTTTAATGAATAATAACAATTAGTAACAAATTTTTTTTTTTACTGGAGTGGGGGGGGGCAAAAATGTGTTGCCCCTATCCTGAAATTCCTAAATACGCCACTGATTGTTTTATAACCACACTTTTTTTCTAAAACAGTTTTAAATTTATGTTGAATTACACGCCCAACTATATTTCGTGCTAATGGAATTTTATATTTTTCTTCTTCTACAACTAGTATAGCATCGACAAGACATATTATGTTTGACGATTCTAATCGTTTGATTGAATTTGGTAGCGATCCAAAGTTTGATTTGATATAAACTAAATTTAATTCTAAAACTGGATCGGCGAACAAATCAATTCCTTTTTCAATGGAAGTAGAATCATTTTTGTCCAGTTTCATGATTATATTTTTAGTTGTACCAAAATGTTCACAATAATAAAAGGCTGCCGTTAACCATGTTCCCCACCTAGTTAGCACAGGTTGTGGGGGTAATGGAATATTAGGAGCATGCCCTTTAAAAATTTGAACTCTCGAAGGAGAGCTCTTTCAAAAATATTTTTTTGCAGTTGGAAATTAGTTGATTGACCGTTGGGAAATTTTTTCTGATTTCTTCCGCCACCCTATATAAGTAAAACGTCAATCACACAATTGCATTATCGTACGTCTCGTATGTATCAGTAAAATTATCGGAGCTAATTACGATAATGCAGGGGAAACTTCAAAATAACACACGTGTGCACCGGGCCTAAAATAGTATCTGCCCATAGTTTATTAAATAATCGTAAATCACGAAAACTAACGATAAAGATAATATATCGTTATGATGAAAATAAAATTTCGTCAATTAACGCTAAGCTAATGGAAACTGAATGATTTACAATAAAATGTAACTTTCAACAAGAAAAATGCGAATATATGTAAAAAAAAAAGTACGAAAATGAATAAAATGCACTAAAAACACTAAATAATGACCGTAAAGCATAAAATTCCCTAAAAGTGCAAAAAATGCAAAAAAAATTGTACCATATTCCACGAATCAAATTTCTGTAAAGACGAGCCTTCGAATACAAGCATTAGATAAAAAGATGCAAATGCATCAAGTTCCGGGCCCTAACTATTACCTTTTATTTATTAATTATTATATATTATTTACATATATATATATTGTTTTCTTCATTATCTTTGAATGCTTGTTGTTTAGTAATTCATATATGTTGTATAATATACTATTTTGTCCTGTTATAATATTATATTAAATACAAGTGACATCATTTATTATTCTTACATGGTGTTATAGTTCAATTATGTAACAATTGACTCTTGATTCAATAAGTTGAATTGATTGTTATCATAAATATCTAAAGTAGTAGTAATTTGGGGCTTCTGAGTTAAATTTTACAGGGAAAAAAAAAAGTTCAAGGGGGAAAGTCCCCCTTGCAGCACATTCGATCACCGTATAGGTAAAAATTCTAAAAAGGTGGGTTGGGGCTTCTGAGTTAAATTTTACAGGGAAAAAAAAAAAGTTCAAGGAGGAAAGTCCCCCTTGCAGCACATTCGATCACCGTATAGGTAAAAATTCTAAAAAGTATGGTTGACGGTACTGAGTTAATTTTTACGGGGAGATGAAAAAATTTCAAGTAGGAATGTATGCCTTACAGTGTAACCAATCTATCTAAAATTTACTAGAGAAAATGCAAATTTTAATTTGTCAAACAAGATTTTATTTAAAACATTTAGTCAGTTACTATCGAGCCGTCGTACAATCAAGTTGTGTTATTTTTTTTTTCAGTGCATTATCTTATTGAATCGATTTTTTTCAACCAACTATTTTAAGTTTTATTAAAAAACCATGAATTTACAGAAGTTTTCTAACGATTTTCCTTCATTGGTTTATTTAGTTAGAAATAATTCGTATCCAGTACATTCAGATTTTACTACATTTTTATCGAGATTAAAAACGTATAATTCATTTCCATCTACTTTATGTCAAAATAAATATTCGTTATCTGAGGCTGGATTTAAGTATTCAGGAACTGCTGACATAGTCGAATGTTTTTGTTGCGGACTGGTGTTACAAAAATGGACTAAAGATGACATTCCGTTTGTTGAACATGCAAAATGGAATCCTAAATGTATATTTGTTTTACTTTGTAAGGGTAATGAATTTATAGAAAATGTAAAAAACGAATATGTAAAATCTACACATGTTTGTGATTGTAATCAGTCTAAATCATAATATGTTATCATTAACTAGTTTACCTTTACTTGTTTAAATTAATTGTAATCATTTATAAATAAATATTGTATTAATCAACTTAAATGCGTTAATAATTGATTTTATATCTCGTTGACTTGTAGTCGAGTCGGATAACGCGTCAAGTTGTAATTCAATATAGTAGGTAGGTTTAAAATTCAAGTTACAGGTTCAACGGTTCAAGTAAGTATCCCCTCTCTACGCGTTATCTGATTTGGTTTCATGGTCACTTTAGTTTTTATATCGATATCAGACAAATAAGTTTAGTATATAATAATACAGGATTCAAGTAATATACTCAGTTTTCAAATATGTGTGTTGTAACGATCATCCGTTATTCTATTTCACGTTTTTTGAAGTTCAAACATTTTTTTACATTTATACGTTTTTTTTTTTTTTGAAAAAAATCATAAAAAATCGACTATATCAAAAAGAACACGTCGCAGTACAATATGATTCCAATTGTTGTTTCAAAGTCAGTAATCGATATACGACCTCTTAGCAAGAAAAGTGTAACTGTTGGATTTTTGGTTAATAAAAATATGTTTACTGTTATTATATTACTCCAATGTAATTTCACAAAAAAAATGCTAATGATCGATTTAATACAGTGGTATACACTAATTTCAGATTCAATTTATAGCTCAATAACTAATAATCTACATACTAATAATAGTAAACGTATAAAAATAACAGATAGCATATATTATACAGTTAATTTAAATCAGTTTACTATTAAATTGTATGTTAATAACCAATTTATCACGTTATCATATAATGATCTCCATCGGATAAAAGAATTACAAGAATGTATTGATTCGTATATTGTTGAAAAGCAGAAAAAGTTGGTTTCATATCAGTCAATTTTTGATACAGTGTATTCATTAATTAAAGCAAACATTAATATTTTACCATTATCTTGTCAGCGAAATGATTTTACAAACCAGTACATACAAAACTTTGATTTTAGCAATTGTTTTGTACAGAACGATGATTTCAGTTTTATGTATGAAATACTTCAATTCCACAATAATTCTTTATCAGATATAATATTAAATGATATTAAAATATAACGTTATGTAGTTACAATCTACGACTGCTTTATCACCAGCTGCAGGTTGTTTACGAGTTGCGATCAGACAGCAGTGTAACCTTCGTTATCACATATTCTTCGTATCATTGTTAACCGTGCTTGTAATCAACCGTTTTTTACGAAATTTAAACTATCTTATCATGAATTACTAATTTTGTTTCCATAGTTCATATAATATGCAATTTTTCGTTATGTTCATAGACTATAGTTATGTTATTCTGTATTCATGCTACATGATAGAACAGTTTTGGTTAGTGTTAAAGTATATGACTAAACCGCATGTTTGACCTTTGACGGTCTCGCATATTAATTATTTTTATATTAATAATTATATATTATTTATATTATTAATTTTTATATTAACAACCGTTCATGTGTTTCTGGTGCTATGATTTATTTCTGTAAGTATCTTTCACGATTTATTTATTGTTATGAATTATGATGTAATTATATGTC